AAGGGACAAGCAGAAGGATTAGATTCTGGGAGACTGGAGGCGTGAGAGCGGGATTGTTTGGGTACTGTGGTAAAAGTAAGAAGCTGTGGTGCTGCAAATGAAATAGAAGACATTTGTGATGACATCTGAATTCATAATCCATTTTAGATTCGGTTAAACTGGCCTCGCTGATAAACCTAATTTTACAGTGCCAAAGCAGATGGAAAGATACAGGATTCTGTCTTTGGGATGAAGACACGGTTTAATGTAGTAATAAACTAAATTCATCCACTGCTTACCTAGAGCTCCCATAGCCCTTTGGAGGCCCTTTTTTTCTGTCAGACTGCCAGAAACATCGCATAAAACTTACTGCTTCTTCACTTACTGTATATGTGATGTGATGAGCTATCTCCTAGTCATGTATAAAATGAAAGTTCTTCAAGTATATACTATATATGGTAAATTGGGACAGTTTCCACTTTATGTTATGCCAGACCAGCTAACCTTCCCTCATCTCGTCAGAGCTAAGACTGCATTGTTGTACTGCGTGGAACACAATGCACTTGAAACAACAGCACACTCTGCACCCACGCTGAATATCAATCTGTGCCTTTACTTCCTGTGTGCAACCTCACAGGAACATAATAGTAGTATTTCAAAAACCTGGGTCAGTACCCGAGCTTGACAGCTTTAAATGAAGAAATCAGCTGAGTTTTATGAATCACATCAATATGAATGATTTGCACACAATAACCTTGACACAAGTTCAGCTCATTTCTTAGAGTTGCACTTTGCAATAAAAAAGTGGAAACTTAATTCCTTCATAGACAAAAGGAAAATATTTGCATCCTACCACCATTAAGTTTTTAATTTAACTTTGTCTGAAAAACCTTTCAAAAAGGATAAGGATAATCACCTTTATTGGCCAAGTATGTTACACACAAGGAATTTGTTTCCGGTACAGAACCGATGGCAGCCATCTGCGGTGCCACCTCAACCGATGGCTCTAACCATCGGGGTCAAAGTGTCTTGCCCAAGGACACTTTGACACATGGACTGCCGGCACAGAGATTCAAACCTTCAAGTTGGGAGACGACTGCTCTACCCACTGCACCACTGTCGCCTCCCCGTATGTAAAGGCATGGAAAATACACAAAAAATGTTGATTATGATTGATAGTTTCTTCTCTGACAATGCAGGATGTAAGAGCCTAAACATTGCCATCCAAAAGGGGAGTGGAGAGGGTTGGGGGTGGAGTTTTTAATGGCAAAATATCAAATTAAAAAGCTTTGTCCCAGGGGAATAAATGAATAAATAAATACATAAATTTTGGCACTCTTATGCACACTCTAAGAGTCGGTTGTTATGTAAATAAGGGTACTCTTCATTAACACAACTATTGATGTAACATAAAAATGTCTATAAGAAAAGAGTCATTAGCACTACACCTTCTCGCCCTCTCATCCTTCAATTGATTTCCATAGCCTAACATATCCAGTATATTTCATAAAGACCACAGTTCAATTACAGTAACAGACATTTTTACACTTCACAGTTGCTAAATCAGCTATTAAAACAACAAGATAATGCAACAAAATACAACATAAGCTAGCTTTGAACAACATCTATTTATGGTTAAATTGATATGTAATTAAATTGTATGAAGGAAATAATTATAAGTGATGATCTATGTTACTTAAAGTAGAGTTTCAGGTTCAAGGAAAGAGAAAGACTGCTCAGGTCAAATTTATAGCATACTGAGGCATATCAAGAAATATATATCAAACTTAAACAACATTTGTGGGTAGTTTGATACGTGATTTAAAAATTGGCTTTCAAAAACCGCTTGAAATTTGACACATACAGTAACAGTGACGTCATGTCCAGAGAGCTGTTAGTCTTGTTAGGTGGCTACAACTGCTGCAACAAAACATATATCAACCACCTTTGTCATTAATGTTGTCTGGTGTGATGGAGGACTTCTGCACTGAGCCTAGATATTGCTATGGTGAGAAGACTGAGAGGACACCATTCCATTATTCACCCAGCCTGTGGCTGCCTGTTCTGTGTTTGTACTGGAAAATGTCAATGTGTCTTTTCTACGGAGACTGACGCAGATGGGTTATTGTTAATGGTTATATCTAATCACTTCCGTAAAACAGTGTGGACAGTCTGCCCTAAAGACCGAATCTGAAATAAAAATAATGTATTTGCCTGAAGCATGAATGAAAGGATGAAGGAATACAAAGGGAATCCTGGGACAAATAGCTGTGTCTAAGCAACAGAGATAACATTATGGGGACTGCAGAGCATCTCTATTGCTAGTGCACAACTGATTACCCGATGGGACAGCAGACCCCAGTGTTGTGCTCTCCCACAACATTGAGTTCTCAGCCCATTGTGAACACCCTGGAGCTACCTGACACCGCTCTGCCATCAGGTTCCCTG